CCGAAATAGGAAAAAATAACGAAACAAAATACCTTCCCCATTGGCGAAGAGCAACCCTCGGCGGCGCGCGAGCAGGAAAGAGAGGAAAGGATGCTCGGCGAAGTCCGGTGACCGTCGGCGACGTCAGTCCATAGCGAGTGACGGATGGAGACGGGCGAAACACGCGAGGTGAGAGAAGGGGAGGAAACGAATGAGCGGCCAGAGGGGGTCGGTGTCGAAAAATAGGGCTTTCACCGGCGGACGTTCCGGCGGCGTATCCGACGGAAACAAGATCTGTCGTAACGTGCGACGGAAATATGTCATTGAGTTTAAATAAGCCGGCGGAAATTGCGTCGGTAATGTTCGCCGGTATGTTTCCGCCGCATAGTGCGACGGAATTAGTTCAGAGCTCGTTTTACCGACGCAATTTCCGGCGATTGGGACGACGGAAGATTTCTGTCGTATTATGCGCCGGAAAATACGTCGTAATGTTTCCGTCGCAAGATTCAGGAACATTCCGCCGTTACCTGCGCCGTTCGTACCGGCGCAAAATTTTCCGCCGGAAAATCCGACGGTAATCGCGTGTTTTCCCGTAGTGAAACAATGAAGTAAATATATTGCATGTGTAACAAATATTCCATTTCTATAAATCATGTCATAATGGCTTAACATTTAAAATGATATAAACATGAAATATCAAATCGACATGTAAGAAAAAGATTTCCTACCTCCAAAAACTATGAAATCCTCCTCTTCTCCTCTTTATTTATTCTTCTTCTTGCCACCACCTAAAGAAAAATAACTCAACTTCAACTTCTTGTCAAAATAAAAAATTATGTTTCACTAAATCTTTTATAAGCTTCCTATAATCTTCCTACACCTATCCTTAAGGTAAAATATCATCAACCTCACACAAAAATTTTGATTTTTCATTAATTAATTTCTGATTTAAAATTTGTAGAAATTAGGAAAATATTTTTCTTTCAATTTCCTCAAATTTTCTTCATTAAAGACTTCCCAAATCTCTTAGAAATAATTTGGTTTAACTCTAAGCTTACAATCTTAATTTTTGGAAAAGCCTTAATGTGGAAACCCCAAAATCTCTTAGGGAAATCTTTGGATTTCAAGCTAAATATGCTTCTAAATCTCTCTAAACATCAATCCTAGTACAAAAGAAATTTTCCACCAAACCCTAAATTTTTAACCTATAATTTTCTTCATGAAAATTCATTTTCTTACTCAAGAGTGTGCACACAAACACTATCTAACAATTTTCTATGGAAGCCCCATCAAATATGCCAAAACCTTAATTTGAAACTTAAGTTTTTTTTTTTTCTTTAGAAAACTTCTTGCTTATAACTTAGAAACATGGGCATAAACAAGCTCTAACACTATTCTAAAGAAAACTCCATCAAAAGAAAAACCCTAAAAATTTGGTTCATGAAAATTTAAGGAAAAAGAACAAGGTTTTCAAGTTTAAATCTTACCTTTCTTCTTCCCTTAGCTTTCTCTTCCACTTTCCTACAAAAGCGTGCTGGAAACCGTCGTCGGTCACCAGAAAACGCAAGCACCCGACGCTCCCTCCTCTATGACGCCTGCCCTCCTTCGTACGGCCGAGAGAAACACAAGGGACCGAATTATTTCGGTCTCTAAACGTTGTTTTGGCTTAAGAGGGAGAGGGATATCCAAATGACGCATGTACCCCTCACTAGAATCATTTCCCTTAAGAGCTCTTAGGGGTAAAAATGGAAGATCTAGCAAAAAATTACTTAAATGATCTTCGGCAAATTTTAATTTCAAAACCGTGCGAAATTAGATATAATTTCTTTATATCGTTTAATAAAATTTATTTCGTCAAATTCCGACGACATCGAAATTTCACTTAAGTTCGTCGCGGCGCATTGAAATGCATGCGATGCACTCATATGACGAATTCCGGGTTTTACAATCCTCCTCTCCTAATAAAAATTTTGTCAACGAAATTTAAAAGAGAGAAAAAACAATCACCTTACTCAAAGAGATGAGGATAGCACTTCCTCATTTTTGACTCGTGCGTCCTAGTTGCGTATCTATGAACCACTCAACCTAACTACTACAATAAGCCCTTTACCATTGAATTAGTTGAGCTCGATCTCATGAGCGTATCTTCGCACATTTTTTCACCCAATATGCTTGAGATATCTAAAAGAAGACAACTCATTTTTGCTAATCAGACTTCCTAAATATTATACTTCAAAAACTAGTGATGTTGGTAAATTGGATTCACTAGGAGTCCTTGGATGATGAAACCTTAGGATTTTGATCAGGTTTTACCTCCATCCTTCCAACCATTCCCCATTCAATCAAATTCAAAATTTTATTAACTAAGTTGATGTTTAAAATTGAGCCTAAGTAACCTCTTTAATCGAAGGTGTTCTCCAATGATTAGGAGGGTTAATTCTATGGATTTGCCAACATTGTCCTGAATGTAGATCTAAATAAACATTGGGCTAATAGCAAGAAAAATTTGTTAAAATAAATTCAATATATCTCAAGGAAATTACTCTCAAATTCTCTCTTTTTTTTAGGATCTGGAAGGGGTGCTTTCCTTGAGCGATGATAGTGCAAACTAATTAGAAATTAACAATGACATTCTTTTAGTTTTGTCAGCCACTAGAGATGCATGACCAATTTGGCACTCTTTGTTGGTTCTTGTTGTACACTGCCGGCATGATAGTTCAAAAATAGAAGACTAACCTGTTATTACTTACGGAAGATATGCTAGGAAGTTTTAGAATTAAATACCTTGCTATCAAAAAAAGTTGAAATATTTCCTTTCTCACGCATTAACTTTGCGAACTGGTTTGTGTTTTACCAGTTTAATATGTAACATCTTTTTGAACTTATGATACATTCATCTATGAATGCAACCCTATATGCATTTTGTAAAACGTTCATACCCATTTTATTTTTGAACACGTAAAAGATTATGAACAATGTTTATGCCAGTCCTCAAAGGCTGGTTATTCCGCATGATGCAGAAGAAAGCTTAAATTGCTCTCAACGTCATGGTACCGGATATAGGGATCTACTTGCAACAGATGTTAGGAGAAAGGGTTCTGCAGGTGTTGTTGACTCTATGATGCTATTGCATTCATATCAGAATATGCATTCTCCAATCATCCAGGTTTAGCGGCAACATCTTTTTCATGTTCTTTCTTCGGCTTGTTTATAGCATTTTATTTATCAGCGATTTGAATAGTTCTTATTTGATTCATGTTTAGGATGCACCACCTATGACAGAAGATATGCATGAAGAGAGGCTCCGGGTAGCTGAAGCCTTTGGAAATTTATTAGTAAGTTTTATTTTCTTCCTATTTTGCTTGGCTGGAATTGACATGAGTTCATGCAATTATCTTATGGTCAGACGATTTTACTGTCCAGAGATTTATGGCTTGAAATGGAGTTTCTTTCACAAGAAAATTTGTTATATTAAATAAATTTAACCTCCTGCATTCAGTTATTTTTTTGCTTGTCTTCTAATAAGTTTGGTAAATTGAAAATTCGGGTCAGGTCTTTAGGATTTACCTGAAGTAACAACACATTACATTTGCATTGAAAATGTTCAAATTGGTTTCATATATTCCTAGCATGTAGCTTGACCTTCTGAATATCTTTTTGTTTGCTAATATTTTCATTATTTTTTAAGCTTAGTTTTCCTTTTGATTTTTTCTTTAAATGTAATAGAATGTTTGCTGAAAATTGATTATTCATTCATGTAGAGCTTCTCGGGTCAGCTAGAAAGAGATATATTATCTTCAGGTACAATACATTAGCACCATCTTTGGTTTTAGTTTCCAAGCTTACTATTCATTGATATGTTTTACTTGCTGACTAGGTGAAGATGATAGCTGGTTTGCTAATGCTGTAATAATATAAATGTTTCTTTAATGCTAGTGACAGTTCTTCTCTTATTTTTGTTAGCAATTTGCATCCTTACGGTTATTTTCATTTTGAATATAATAAATTCTAGATGATTGAATTTTTTATTTATTTTGATCAATAATAAATTTTAACATTTTTGATAGTTCTAAGAAATTCCCCTATATATTTTTCATGTTAATTTTTTCCATGGGTTTGCTTTTTTTAGGGGTTTAAAAGACCTATCAACTGTGTTGGTTTCTTATGCCATACCCTTGCTTTGTTATTTTATGGAAAATTCAGACCTTCCAAGGTTGTTATATCATCATTACTTTGGTTCTGTATGCTTGTGATTTTTTAGACATTTCTGATGTATGATTTCGTCTTCCCTTAAACTATTACTAACCTGTAAGGCCTTTGCATCATTGCTTGAACTCATAGAAGCTTCTTTCTCGGTCTTGCGAATAGCCATCACTCACAATAAGCTATACAACTCTATGCATCTAGTAATGTTTTGTATATAATGAGTGTCTATGTCATGCATAGTAGGTTATTCAACAAAATTTTAGCTTTCTACTTGGAAATCAATATTGTTCTCTATGGATCAGTCATGTCAGCCATTAAATTTTCAGTATTCGTTATTTATTAATTATTTTTGGATTTTTACTTGTTTGTACTTTATCCTTCTTTTTCCTTGAATGCTTTTGACGCATTTTTTATATTTATTTTATTATAGCAAATCTTTATTTTTCTTAAAATTTCTTAGATATGTCTGCTTTCAAAGCTGCAAACCCAGATGCTGTCTTTGAAGATTTTATTCGCTGGCATTCACCTAGTGACTGGGAGAGTGATGGGGTTGAGGATAAGTCTATACACGATATAGTCAACTCCCCAAAGCCCAACTGGCCTCCAAAAGGAAGACTCTCTCAACGCATGGCTGAACATGGAAGTTTATGGCGACAGATTTGGAATACTTCACCTGCAATACCTTCTTCAAAACAGAGGCCTCTTTTGGACCCTATCCGTGAAGGGGAGAAGGTATCTTTCATGTTAAATGTTTTGTTACATCAACTTTTTCTTTAAACATATGTCTTCCAGGCTTAAAATCATTAATAAAAAAGTCATGAAAATAAGGTTTAAGCCATAATTTCCGGACTATTAGTTTTGTTTGCTAAGAAATTCAATTGGAAGCTTTAATCTCAATATTTTTCAAATACCAAGTGATGGATGTTAATGTCGTGCCTATTGTCAAATTTCTTTATTATATTTTGGTTCAATATGCTTGACATTTGTCATGATACTGAATAATGTAACTTTCATTCTTGCAAATAAAAAAAAAACAAAATAAAAAACAAAACAAAACAATGAAGTTCTCTTGTATGTATATTTATTTAAAAAAAAAAAAAAGAATGGTAACCTATTTGTTGTTCCTGCACTTTTCCAAATTATTGCTGTTACTTTTTTGTTATAGGATAGGGCAGTAAAGGGTGCTGATGATTTGGGTTGTTTGACTAAATATTATGGATCTGAGAATGAGGTTGGGTAGGAAAGTGTATTATTTAACTAAAAAGAAAAAGTGATGAATCATTCATTTCATTCCATGGGTGTTCATTTGTGTAAATCCATGACTTTACATTCTAGTATGCTCTTAGGAGTTACGTTTTTGCAAGTTATTTTGAATTTTCATCTTTGTGCAGATACTTCATTACCTTGAAACTTTGAAGCCCTATCAGTTACATGAGCAAATGGTTTGCACCTCGTTTAGAGCAGCAGCTGACATTTTGAATCAGACCAAATTTGGTGATTTTAGACTATTGAAAGCAAAAATTGATCAACTCTACTGTACTCTAGCATCTACATTGAAGTCATTGATAGGTATTACGTTGATTTTATATGCTCAAAGAGAATATGATAGAAATTTTATATTATCTTGCTTTAATAGTTTCCATATATGATGTCCATCAACTCTACTAAATCTTGTATTACTAAAAATTGGTTTAGTTGTTCTCATTTCTTCATCTTTATATTTGTTCAATATAAATGTAAATATTTTCAGAGCACTTAGTAGTGTTCTTTTTTTTTTTTTTTTTTTTTTTCTTGAGAAATTATCATTCTACATTAAGGTAGTTAATAAAAAATTACAGTGAACGTGAAAATAATTACCTTTATATCTTTATTTTCTTTTATTCATGACCACAGTGTATCTTTCTTTTTTGCGTTTTTGAACATATCATAATTATAAATGATTGTAATAATGTTATATATCCATTTGATTAAACATTATAAAATCTTTTTCATACAAAAATCTCATTCTGACCTAATAGGATTTTTGCTTTGATACAGCAAATCATGTGCCTGATAGGTTTGAGTTGATTGGCGATTTGAAGCAACTCTGTGTTGTTTTTGATCACATTGAGAAGTTGGTTATTCTGGCTGCTTCAATTCATCGTAAACTTTTTGACGCTCCTCGTCTTTCTCAAGCAGTTTTTCAAGATTACTTTGACTTCTATCTGCCAAAAATGGGAACTGGTTTAGCAAGCTTATGCTATGACAAGGTACATGCAGATGGTTTGTACAATAAGATACTTTAATTATTTGTATAAGCTTTCAAAGAAGCAATAATCTATCTAATAGGACCTTATAAAATGATTTGTATTGTTATCTTTTACTTTTAAGAAAATGTAAAGCTTCACTTCCTAAAGAAATCTGCACAAAAAAATTAAAATGGGGTTCACTTCGCTTAGATGGCCTAATCATACACTTCCAGAGCATTTGTGCTCTCTTTCTCTCTTTTGGGCCACCTAAACAAAGTGGGTCACAATTTAATTGTATGGTTTTGGTAGTGTAGTAGCGCTCTTTAAGAAATCAAGGCATAATAGGATCTGAATAGAAATATGTTTTGTTGGCTAACATATTTTCTGTTAAGGTTTGCTCCAATTATTAATTGAGTTTTTGAAAAATTGGTCTGCTAGCTAAACAAGTATATGTTTGATCCTATCACTGCACTAACCAGGATTTCGATCTCAGGTCAAGTTAGCAATAATATTAGCTTTAATCTGTGCCACTGTTATCTTATTCTTGTGATATTTTTTCATGTTAGCTATGATGTGTCAGAAGATAGCTTAATCGTCAAGATGAACCCATCGTATAAAACTCACGGTTTATGCAGCTATTTGCTATGAGAGCAAAAACCTCAGCAGTAGCCCTTTGGGACCTCTTTTGTTTTTTGTAATTTGGACATGCTAGAGTTATCCTTCGTTTATTCTAGAGATTGCATGATTTTTATCATTTTGTTCTTCTTTTGAAAATGTTCATCTATGCATGTGTAGGTCGGTTTTTGTTTTTAGCTTTGGGCTCTATAGTCTAGTATATTTTTTATTTTTCCCCCAATAATAAACCTTGTTTGTCCACTGGATTTCATGGAAAAACTATTTTTACATGGTATTCGTTTTTAATCGGTAAATTTTACTAACTTTCCAACTGATTCAACAGTCGTCTGCCCATAGCCCCACATAAAGCTCTCGCCTCAATCAGTCAGAAAACTAATGCTTCTTTACTTGAACTTTATGCAGGCCACTTTTGCTTCTAAACTTGCATGTTCATATAATGATGTTTTCTAACTATATTGATACATTTGAAACTAAATTGGACATGTGTGCCATTGATCAATCTTTTGTTCACTTTAAATTTTTTTTTTCTGGAATATATACATTAGTTACTGATTGAAATAAGCAAAATTTTTTATCGACCGTAAAATGAAAACTATGTGCATAATTTTTTTCCTCATCTAATACAGGTTTTTAATGTGAAACAAGTGGTAAAGGTGCATGAGAGAGACGTAGTTGCAAGTTTATTCCCTCCTCCTACCGCAAGTCAGTCATGGAGAAAAGTTCTGAGCATGGGTAATCTATTGTTTGGCCATGAACCGATTTTAAGGGAGATCATTTTCTCAGTCTATGACAATGTCAGTAATGGCCAATATTCAGGCAGTAATCTTGTAGCCTCAATGGGAGACATTGAAACACATCGTATGTATATATGTGGAACTTCCAATGATCTGCGTGTTGCGCTATCAGTGACATCTTGGGATTAACAAGCATATAAAGATATAATTTCACTGATAAAGGGCAAGGTGGTTTCTCTTTGATGGTTGTTCTGCCACTATATTATAGGCAGGCCATAGACCAATGTAATGGTGGTTAGCATATTAGTTATGAAGCCAGAAATAATTCTTAGCTGAAGGATGCTCAAATGGTGATTTACTGTGCTGGATTGCAGAATTCATTCTGACAGTTATCCTAACATCTCTTGAAGTCTTCGTCTCATGATGCTTATACCAATCCGTTCCATTTAGTTCAAAAAGCCTAGAAATAAGTATAGTTTTAAAAGAGATCAAGTCATAAGGCATAACACTGATTGCTTCTACACTGCTTTTACGACGAGTTGAAGCTATTTAGCTATAACCCTGCTGTGGTAAAGCTTGGTAATTTACTTTTAATGGTCATTTAAATTACAATTCTGTGGTTTATTGTATTTTGCTTTATATCATGAACATTGTTTCCTTTTTTTTTTTTTACTTCAAAGTTCCTCAAGGAGATTATTCTTGTAGTTATATATACATGGGATTTGGCTATTCTCTATTTAGCTATAACCTCTTTCTATTAAATGTCATGTTGATTCACGAGTATGTTTCATAAGATGATGTTGTCTTGTTAGAACTAGTTTTGGGAGATCAGCGCATTGGGATTTTAAAACATTGCCTTCTTTTGACGTGTTTTTTTTTTTCTTGAATATTTAAATATATGAATAATAAAAATTATATATTCGTTTTCAATGACTAGATTGATCAAAGCAATTGTTTGGGTTTATTTTGTAGTTTGATTTAAAATTTGTTTGAGATAATTTTTATTATTATTTTATGTTTCATATCATAATTTTGTTTTATTATTATTTTATTATTGCTTTCAATAAAAATTATTCTAGAAAGCTATTTCTTACGGCAACTTAATAAAATATTTTTTTCTAGTAATATTTTACCAATATTTTTATAAAAAAAAAATATAATTGTCTCAAACAAACTCTTTGGGCCTATTTGGAATTGTTGTAGGATTTTATAAAATTAGTCTTAAAGTCGTACATAATGCAATTTCATTATTATAGTTGTAGAAAATATATTTTCACTACAATTTTTTTAAAAAAAATAATAATAAAGCTGTGTGATATTAGTACCCAAATGAAAATTTAGTTTCTATTTAAAACATAAAGCAGGCAGAAACGTGTCCCAAGTAAACAGTTAATTAAAATAGAAATCAAATTGTGGTCGAGCTCTTGAATTTATATTTAAAATTTATATATTAGATTCATATTATTATTTTACATTTATAAATTATTGAGGTTAAATTAAATCATTTATTATAAATAATAAATTAATTAATTAATATTTATAGTACATAAAAAAATAAATGAAGAATATAATTTATTTAATATTATTAATTAAAATAAAGATTATTTCATCATAAAAAGCTTATTTAAAAAATATATTTTAAAATGAGTAGTATATGTTATAAACTTAAAAGTTAAGAAGAAAGACATAGGAGCTTTAGTTTTTTTAGTCCCACATCACTTGGAGAGTTTCTCTTGGTCAGGCTTTTACTTTATATTGACTTTTGAGCTTGGAAGAAGTAGTACATCATGTGAAAAGATGAATCTTCATGAAATGCTTGTTTGGAATTTTATAATTTAAAATTAAGCATCTTAAATATGAAATTAAATTACAAATATTTTTTAATATTACAAATAAGTTATTTCAAATTTAAATTTTAAAAAAAAATGCAAAAATTGAACCGGCCGGTTCAAGAGAACCGTGACCGTCCCGGTTCACCGGTTGAACCGGCGGTTTTTGACAAAACCCAGCCGGTTTGATGTTAAGGCGGTTCTTAGATTTAACATGAACTAGACTTCAGACTGGTTTATGTTTGAACCAGTCGGATCGGCCGGTCCGGTTCAATTTTTAAAACATTGGTTACAATACAATTACTTAGAATTGCAAGAAAATAAAGAAAATTTTTAAACACTAAAAAAAACAACAATCTCACCCCTTTAAAAAGGAGAAAAAGAACAAAAATAAACAACCTATCCTACAAAAGGAACAGGAAAGATCAACACAATAATAGCACAATATCCAACTATAAAGACATAAAAAGCTCCCAAACATCCACTTCAAACAGTAGATGCATGAACTAGAAGAACCTCCAAGCCATTAAAGCTTCAATGATCAAGTATCAGTCAAGCCAAACAATCGAAAACAATCAAAGGTAACTCCAGCCTCCAAACCAGTCACATCTTGAATTATCCAAAGGGAAAGAAAAAACCTCCAAGTAACTCTTCAAATCAGCCATAACTCGGTTCACCCAATTAGCAAACAAAGCCTCCTGCATAGAAAAAATCATCCAACAAAAACAGAGGCAAAGAAAAAGTTGAAAAGCCCCTAAAACAAGGGCTCGGCTAAAGGGTAAACCTTCATCAAATTCTTAGAACTCGAAAAATCTTTGATTGCTATACCCAACCTTCTAGAATAATATGGTTGCCAATCCAACCATCCAAAGTAAGAAAAAATTAGAAGGTGCCCAAACATCATTGTTCAAAAAATCCAAAACTAGCCACATTATATAATAATATGTTGAATTTTTAGGAAATAAGCCTAATTGAAAATTTTAGCTTGAACTGCAAACCGGATAAGTTTACAAATAAAATCTTGACTGCTAAAATTGTTTTGTTAGAACTAGTTTTGGGAGATCAGCGCATTGGGATTTTAAAGCATTGCCTTCTTTTGACGTGTTTTTTTTTTTTTTTTTCCTTGAATATTTAAATGTATGAATAATAAAAATATATATATTCATTATTGAATGGCTAGATTGATTAAAATAATTGTTTGGCTTTATTTTTTATTTTGATTTAGAATTTGTTTGAGATAATTTTTTTATTGTTTTATTATCATTTTCTTGTTGCTCTTAAAAAAATATTCTAAAAAGTTGTTTTTACATAAGCTTAAAAAAATATTTGTTTCTCATAATATTTAAAAAAAAAATTATTAAAAAATATATAATTGCCTAAAATAGACCCTTAGGGTCTATTAGAAATTGCTTTAACATTTTAAGAAGTTAGTTGTAAAGTTGTAATAAAGAAAATAACTTCATTATTATAATTGCAGAAAATATTTTTTCACTACAAAAATTTTTAAAAAATAATAAGAAAGTTACATGAAAGTAGTACTCAAATGAAATTGTAATTGCTATTTAAAAAATAAAGTAGCTAGAAATGTGTTCCAAAAAAACCCTTAATTAAAATAGCAATCAAATTGTGATCGAGCTTGATTGTTGGATGTAAGTTTTTTTTTTTTAGAAAAATAGGGGTAATTATGCCCAATTTTATTAAAAAAAACAAAAGGTTACAAGAAATTACAAATGAATTGTAAGAAAAAAACTTACAAATGAATACAAGAACAATCCTAAGATACGAAATATTCAATAAATGAGAAACAACAAAGGAAGAAGAAATGCAGAGTTTCAAAGGAACCTGCAGAAACTAAAACACAAAATAAAACTCGATGAAGAAGACTCAATCAACCAAAGCAGCAAACTGCCAACAAAATGGAGAACTAGTTGTCGAAACAGTCAAAACAATCCTCCAAAACCAAAAATTGCAACTAAACCCAGAAGCCAAAAAACTCGAACCAACCAACATAACCAAAACCTGCAAAAAAAAAATCATCAATACTAAAAATTCCCCAACCAGCAAAACACCAGACCCCCAAACACCAACTAGAAACCCCAAAGACAACCAACAGCTAACCCTAGAAGCAACCAAGACACTCTCGCCCAAAAACTAACACAGCCAACATAAACCACAGCCCCCCGAAAACCAAACAACAACACCAACAATAACAATTAGCCAACACAAGAACCAATAGCTGCCAAACCAACAAAACTAGAACAACTAAATCACCTCACAAGACTCAAAAATGGGGGGAAAAACCTTCTTAAAAACAAAAACAAAAAATCTATCCTTGGTTGCATAAATTGACCCTCCAAAGTTAAAAACTATTGTCAATATAAAACCTTCCAAGAAGAGACTGAAAGCCCCAAACATCGTAGTCCAAACACCCCCAAACACACTATCTAAGTAAAAAACCTTTAATGTTGTGAAATGAATTCCAAGTAGAAATTTTTGCTAGTAAAGCCTTTTTTTTAAGAACAGTCCACAAAATTAACGCTAGAAAAATAATTCTGAATTCCTTTCTTTCCAAATGAAATATATAGAGCAAGAGATAAAAATAAAAAAATAAAATTTTCACATTAGAATCTAAATGAAGAGTATAGATATAATCCAGTAACTGCACCGAATTAGGCCGCAACATGACAAATTTAGTATCCGACAAAAAGTTTGAAATATGACTGAAATAAAAATCACGTTCAAAAAATAAATGATTATGACTTTCTTTACCATTTAAACAAATGATACAAGTAGTAGAAGTTTCAGATTTCTCTGAGCAAGTATATCAGATATTTTAAGATTGTTCAAAATAGCCATCGAAACATAGTAAGAGAATCTCAAAGCATAACTTTTATGCCAAATGAAATGACACTTCACTTTAATGAAGTTATCATAAAAAGCCTTATGAAACATTTTGAAAGAACACAACATAACACCATTCCAAGAAATATCATATGCTTGCTTATCAGAAATAGCAAAAGAGGACACAATTGAATTGATATCTGGAGACTAAGCAATCTCATGTATAGAATTCCCCAAACACCAAGGATCCCAAAAAAGAAAAAGATAACTATTAAAGAAAATATTGAAAACAATTTTACTCTTAATGTCTCTAGCAATAGTTGTGATATTTTTCCAAAAAATAGAAACTGGTTCAGGCCAAGGCTTCCAAAAAGAGAGATACTTGAACTTAATCTAAATATCCAAAGGGCCAAAGTTATTAATGATTTTCTAAATAAGAGAACAACTGTAGGGAAATTGTAAAGCTTCCGGGTCAAAATATCAAGACCCCCATGCAATAATATGCATCTTTCTACTAGAAGAAACTCCATTAAAAAGAAAATTAGAACAAACCTTTCTAATAAACTTAAAACAAATTTTAGGAAGAGAAGTACCCTTAATCCAATAGGAGATAACATTTATAATAGTAAAATTAAGAAATTGAACCCTGTTAGCAAACGAAAGCAATTTAGCTTTCCAACCTGCTAAAAGAAAAGTAATACGACTCACCAATGGCTGAATATCATAATTTTTAAGCCTTTTACCAGATAGAGGCAAGCCCAAATACTTTAAAGGGGAAAAGAAACACTAATGCCAAGAATATGACTAATATCATCCTCGAATTGACAATATTTATAAAGAATAAGAGAAATTTTAGTTGAATTAATGAACAAAGAAGTAGTAGAGAAATGAACCAAAATATCATTGAGCTTTCTAGCATTCTCAATTGTGCCTTTACCAAATATGAGAAGACCATCTGCATATAATAAATGAGAAAGAGAATCATCACCTACCATTATCCTCTCAAAATTAGCACTAGCAAAATTATCATCCAGAAGATTGGGGAGAGCATCAATAACAGTACAAAAAGATACGGAGAAAGAGAGTAACCTTGTCGAATAGCCGAAGAAAAAACTAAAAAACC